TTATAAAAAAAGATGAAGAATTCAAGATCAAGCAGTGTGTGTGTTTTCGGAGAAAGAAAACAGTCATCAAGAAGTTTATTAACCTAATATTTTATAATTTTTAAACTTTCAATTTTCAAATTTGTAATTCAAAGTTTAATTTCAAAATTTTTATCTTGTAAGATTAATCTTCATATTTCAATAAAGATTATCCTTTCATTTCAACATTTGTATATTTTCACTTCTACTCTATATTTACCTGGGCCTATTTGTATCTTCCAAGCTATATAAGAAGGCTTGTCAAACACATAATATACACTCACACATACACACAAGCATACGAAATTTGTCAGTCGGTTGTAGAACTTAAATTCTCCCGTACGTGTTATCCACTTGAATTACCAAGATAAATGTAGTAGTACGAATTGTTTTTTCATTATTTAAATTACGAAAATTCATGTTATGAATATGATGATACGAAAATCCAAGTAATGATTATGATAAGAGTCTTACATGTGTAAGGTCAAAGGACCGGAGTTTAGTAGCGCTACTCACAAGAATTATAATCAAGAAATTCGGATTTTAATTTCCGTATCCCCATATGTATGTTATGATTTTCCCTATTTAAATATGCGATGCAATTCGTTATTACTCATTTATCGAGAGTTGTCTCACATGTATATGTTTGAGGAGCTCAAAGGTAGATTGCGCTTGCGATGGTGAAAATGAAGAACAAATTATGTAGTTTAAGGATTTTTAATAACATTCATAATATTTTTCTTTAAACTAATTTTAAATCTTTGCATTTTAAGAAAATATTATGTTTTTCTTTTATTTATGAAAGTGTTTTTTATGGTTCACGTTTAATGACTCTAAAGTCAAAAATTTGGGTCATTACAGGTTAATTTCCCATTTGAATCTCTAAATATGCTTCACAGTGCCCTTCTTCAAGAAATCTCACTAAGCTAGTTCACTTGATTAAAACTAGGTTTTCCCTCATTAACTGTAAGCAACATGTACAATCATTGGAACATTGTTTTATTTTCCATTTATGTTCAGAGTAACAAGACATGTGATTTTCCATTTTTATTCTACTATAAAAGCTCACTGTCGAGGAAAAACAACATTGTTTATGATTAAAGTCTTGATTTGAACAACCAAGTTAGAAGTACAATTTGGATGACAAGGGGGCCAAGTGGCGGCCTACTATTGGAGTCAACCTAACTGTACAAATGGAATAATTTCCGCCACTTGGCCCCTTTGTCAACCAAATTGTAAAAAACATTGCACAAATGGAATAATTCTTATTCGAATCACGACGACAACTTCTTCACTTTCCAAGTGTCCAGCATAGAATCGCTGCATAACCCACAACAAACATTTCCTATCCATAAATGCCAAAATAACATTTCTCCCCTTATAGAAAAATCAGAGAGAGCGGGGAAGAGAGAGAGAGAGAGAGAGAGGATTTTTCAAACTCATTCTAAGTACACACAATTTGAATTTCAACAAAACCCAGAGACATGGAAAAATCCAGTTTCTAGTTCTCGAATTTTGTCACTGACAAGCTGACAGATAAACAAGCATTATCATAGCCTCTATAGCCTCTACTGTGTTCACAAAAATCAGCTTAAATTATAGGTTAAATACAGCTACCATTTGTGCATTTTTAATATTAAATTTTAGAATTTAAAATATCTTTCAAAAGTAATTGAATCATTACCAAATTATTGTATAACATGGAAAAATTGGAAGCTAAAAGACAGGACTTACGGTGTAGGCAGAGGATTGGTAGGTGAACCTTCGGAACCACTGAGAATCTCAAGATCCGGATCAGGGTTGTCGGGGCTTGATTTAACCCCCAATATAAAACCTAAAATTAGAAAGGTAATAAATAGAAATGCGATCAGTAGGCCTCCGCCTCTCATCTGAAGATTTCAACTGATTTCGTCTATCAAGTTGAAAAGAATGTACTAATCCAAAAGAAATCAGGTGCGAATTTTGTAATGATAAATAGACTTTCTGATATTGTGAATAAAAATTGATTCTTTGTAGGGTTTTCGAATCATGCGGAGAACGACTTCGTGAGCCGCGTTGAATCGAAGGATCAGGATTTTGTTTTCCAATAAATGTGTTAACGGATTAAGTCCCACGACTTCGTCTTGGTCTGACGAACGACTTTGGAAAATGAAGGGGGAACAACGGCAAACGGAAATGGTTTATTTTTTAAAAACACCTAATTTACAAAAGATTTTTGTACATAATATTTTATAAATAAGAATGTCCACCCTTTCGGTGGTGGGTGGGGCCGTTTGAATATTTTATTTTTTTAATTTAAAAAACACCTAATGTATTAAAGATTCTTGTGCATAATTTATTTATTATTATTATTTTTTTTTTATACATAAGGGTGTTCATCCTTTCACATGAGTGGGACTTGCTCAAATAAAGCTCTTGTTTGAGCTCCATTTTAGAGGAGAAAATGAATTTTTAAATAGTGTATTGATAGAAAATGTGTGGTTAAAAAATAAGAAAAAAATTTTAATTTGTATATAATATTTTTTTATTGAAAAATATGTGGTTGAAATGGTGTCAAATCACTATTAAAAAATGTATTTTGATGGAAAAATAGGGCTCAAATAAGGGCAAAATATTCGAACGAGCCCCACCCATGTGAGAGAGTGGACATCACTATCTACCACTAACATTTCCCTTTACTTTAAATCACATTTCTGAAAATTTAAAACTTTGATTTTAATCTAAAATTAAAGTTAATATTTCGTTTTAATCACATATTTTGTAAAAAAATCTGCTAAAAATTTTATTTTAATATCTACCATGAGCTAAATAATTTTTTTAGACCACTTGTTAAAAAATTTAAATTATCCTTTTCTATGTTTTAGAAGTGTCTTATGATAATAATATCATGGGAAAATTGCAGCAGCAGTCCCGAACCTTTTCATTTTTGTAGATTTTATCATAACCTTCATTTTGCACTAACAGAGGTTCTTTATCTTTCGCAAATATGTACCTGAGATTCATCTAGACGGAAATCGTCCAAAAACACAATCAGTTAGGTGTGTCAAAAAGGCTCGGCGACTCAGGCGGCCCACAGCCCGACTCGAGCCGAGCCCCATTTTGGGGACACGGGTTGAGCCCAAGCCGGCCCGTGAGCCTTTAATAATTAAAAAAGAAAAGAAAAGAGGCATAAAAGGTAGCCTTTTAAGGCAGAAAAAAATCAAGTCTGCCCGCCTCGGCCCAAAAAAGGCCAAGCCAAAAGCTCAGGTAGAACCGAAATTTTTGCTCCGCTCAACTCAGGCTCGTAAAAAAGTTCGACCATTTTAACTTAGTCGAGCTCGAGCTGAAAGTTTTAGGCTCGGGCTCAACTCATTGACATTCCTACAGTCAGTTGACTAGGAAAATTAAGGAATCAACATCCAAAATAGCGTCCAAAAAATACCGTCTAAAAAGGTATCAACATCTAATAAAATCGTCACGGTAGTAGATAGTTCAAGAAATTTTTCCGTTCAACTGACGGTGTTTTAGACTATTTCCGTCAAGATGGACCTCATGTGCATATTTATGAAATGTTAGGAGCTTTCGCTGGTACAAAATGAAGATTAGGGTAAAATCTGCAAAAAACGAAAAGGTTAGAAACCGATGCTACAATTTTCCCTAATATCATTTTCTCAAGAACTATGCATTATTTTCAAAACAATCCCTCTTCAATATCAATCTAACTTTTCGTTTTCCTCCCATCATATTAACTCAAAGTACAAGGAATCACATTCAAGATAATAAACCCCAACGTTTGTACATTTTGTACCGATAAGATTATTCTTTTCATTTTTATGGTTTTTCATTTTTATTTATGTATTTTGGTTGCTTTGATTTGTACATATCAATTGCCCTTTCCATATATTTGAGTGTTAGAATGATTTTTTCTAAGTCAAAATAACATTTGAAAGCACAATCTCATGATGTTGTAGCTGCAGTTCGTTTAAATGACTGCAAGTCTTTTTAAATGACATTGATCGTATTACACGATTGTGATTGTTTTTCACAATTTCGATCATTTCAAACCACTACGGTACCATTATAATCAACTATCCTTTCTTTTTTACAAAGCAATGAGATGCTTTGCTGACATTTTAATATGGAATCAATAATATGAATTGCTGTATGTTATTCTAGTCACTTTTTTTGCAATAATCAAGATAAACGGAATTGGAAACTAGTGGGAGTGAAGTTGTGGAGGGACTTTCAATATCTATAGATATATCATAGAACAATTATATTATAAAGTGAGACCTCTACAGTTACAATTTTAAATTCCATTTAAGATTACTTGGTCTCAATAAATCAGGTTATAATTATTCCCTTTGCATCACTCTTGTTAGCAAAGGTCTCCACAAGAAGCTGATGATCCATTTTATGAAGTCGAAGATGATGAAGTTAATCGATAGATGCAAAAGGAATGCGATAATCTTGATTGCGAAATGCAATTGTATGATGACAACGAAGGGTATCAGAATGAAAATGTTCATTGGGATTAGTTGAAGATAGCTCAAAACATCATCGATATGTTCACTGAAAATTATAACAATGTTGCTTTCTCTACATATGGACTCGAAATGGTTTGAGACAAAGGAGTGACACCGTAATAAAAATGCCTTTACCTTATTTTTCTTTCTTTTCGACTGGCAAACAGGAATATACATGGACAACTAAAGTTGAAACAAATTTGACCTTTCATTATTACAGGACAACTTAGGGAGGCCCTTGTAAAGGGACGAAAATGATCATGTGATCCAGCATTTTGTCCTGGCGTTACAAGAAAAAGGCTGTAGGAAGAGCCTCCAACAAAGGAAAACTAAGAAATTGAACACTCATTTAGATCTAATGTCAACCAATAATGAGTAACAAGAAGACTATAATTGCAAAACGTAGCATTCTCAGATGGCAGCTACCTAAATTGAACGGATCATGGGGTCAAGATTTTATAAGATCAACATAATATCTTAAACAACAGATTCAACTTCATCTGAGTTAATAGCTGCTCCATTTGGGGGGTCGTCTGACCGCAGCTGAGTGGATACATTGTCTATAGCAAAGTTGAGCTGTTCAATCTTCTCGGCTAGTTTCTGGTATTGCTTCTGTGAATAAGACACCATGCAAATGTTTCACAAAGGTGAAAGAGTAAGAAACATGCCTCTCTACGACATTGGTGTTATATCGATGATGAAGCAAATCAAGGCATTAACAATTGGTGTTATATCGATGATGAAGCAAATCAAGGCATTTGTTAAATATCCAGCCAAGGAAAGAAAAGATCTATATTGATATTGCAGTTTTAGTTTATTACGAAGCTCTTACAAATTCCAGTCTAGTTTAAAGATTCGATTAGAGAAAATATAATTGTCTTGATTCTAGTGTATTCTCGTAAGATGATACATACTAGCTAATAATCCACCTGATGCTACATCATAGGCACACTTTTCTTTTATGACAGAGATACTCGAATTATAATGGCCATAGAGTCCGAAAACTAGGATATGCAGGATTCTTCATCTGTATTTTGGAAAATACAATGATGGTAGATTATCTTAAACTAGTCGCTAACACGTGCGCACGAATTTTGTATTTATCTTCTTTTTATTAGTGTATGAATTTTAATTTTTTTGGAAAGTTTTTGAAGCAATATCCAAAAATACTTCCATGATATAAGAAAATAATTGCAAATAATTATTTTTACAATTGCATAGCAGTATGTCATCTAAAAAAATTATGCTTGTATATTTCACGCTTGAATAAGAAATATACAAACTATTTTGCTTGTATTCTTTGATAGTGTTGATATGATTGAATTGAATGTGAAGATTATATTTCTAAATATTGAGTAATTCAATATTAAAATTGAAAAAATACTCTCTGCACAGTGCGGAGGGAGTTGAACCAAGTGCAAAGTAAAAATAAAAAATAAAAAAAAAGTGTGGAGAGAAAAAACACATCCGCACAATGCGGAGAGAGTTGAACTATATGCAGAGAGTTAGCAAACTCTTCGCACAGTGCTGAGTAAAAAAAATCTCTCCGCATAGTGCGGAGAGATGACAAACCAACTCTCCGCACATTACGGAAAGCAAAAAAAAACTCTCCGCACTGTGCGGAGAGAGTTAATCTCTTCGCACAGTGCGAAAGTTGGTCCACACCATGGCAAAACTCTCCGCACAGTTGAACCATGTGTAGAGTAAAAAAAGTGCGGAGAGAAAAAAACCTCTCCGCACAATGCGGAGAGAGTTGAACTATGTATGGAGAGTTGGCAAACTCTTCGCAACTCTTCGAACAGTGCGGAGTAAAAAAAACTTTCCGCACAGTGCGGAGATATGACAAACCAGCTCTCCTCACAGTATAGAAAGAAAAAACTCTCCACACAGTACGCATAGTTATTTTCAAATTCCTTAATTACAAGTCAAATTTCAAGACTGTAAAATTTTCGTGTATATAACGAAATAGAGTAAAAAAACATAGCTCAAAATCAATTATGTCTTCTTTAAATTCCAGTTACAGCTCAATTTCTGAGCATGCAAATCATATTTATGGTATTGGAAAGGAGCTTTCTCGTGATTCATACAATGAAACAATATATGAGTTGTGCAAAGAAGGGGATATTGATAGTACCATGGCATTGCTTTCACAAATGGATGCTCTAGGGTATCACCCAAATTCAATATGTTACACTTCCTTGATAACAACTCTTGAACATTACAAGCGGATACAATTTTCAATGAAATTATACTTTCGGGTTGTATGCCAGAAATTAAAGTGGTCAATGCATTGCTCAAAAGTTATTTGAGAAAAGGTCTCTTGGAACTTGCAAATAAAGTCCCGAGAGTTTTTGTTTTTCTTTTTACATTGTGTGGAGAGATAGTTTGTCATCTCTTCGCACTTTGCGGAATCTTTTTTTTTTGCTCATGTGCGGAGATTTTTTTTTGTCTCATAGAGTTTATACATACTAAATTTTTTTTTTTAATGTTGTTGGCATGATGCGTGTGTGAAAAAATATTTGTCAATTACCATAACAAAATTCTTCACAAAATGTAAAAAATAAAAATGTATAATAAATCTTCTTATTACGCTAATAAAATTACAATATTTTTTTTTTACGAATAACATAAAAAAAAATCATTTTTATCTTCAACAAAAAAACACATTTAAAAATTAGCAATTTCATAACCACTTTTTTTTTTTAATTCTCGGAAATAAAATTATAAAAAAGAAAACAATATTGAATTACAACATTTAATACTTAAGAAATTCAATACTAAATAAATTTTATACATTTATAACAAATTATAAATCCATATATACAGTTTACCGCATATGCTGCCTACCGTATTTGCACCATACCGTATATGATGTCTATCGATGCCTACCGTATTTGTAAACAATTTACCATATTTTCACTTTACCGTATATGCTACCTACCATATTTGCAACTTACTGTATATACTGCCTACTGTATTTGCAGCTTACTGTATTTTTATATACCGATTTTTGCACTTACAAATACCGAGAATGCAGAACACCGTAAATTCACTTATCAAACCGAATTTCAAAAAAATTTCCAGATTTTTATTTTTTCAACATAAGCATCAAATAAATATTAAATATATATGAAGCAAAAAATATAAATACATATGAATATGGTGCTCAATCTTCAATTTTTCAATATTGAATTATACAAAATTTAAAAATATAATCTTCACATTCAACTTAATCATATCAACACTATCAAAGAATACAAACAAAATAATTTATATAATATCATATATTTCTTATTCAAGTATGAAGTATTCAAGTATATTTTTTCTAAATGACACAATACTGTTATGCAATTGTAAAAATAATTTGCAATTATTTTTTTATATCATGAAAATATTTCTAGATATTGCTTCAAAAACTTTTCAAAAAATTAAAATTTATACACTAATAAAAATGCGATAAATGCGAAATTCGTGCAACGCACGTGACAGTCACTGTGCGGAGAGATTTTTTTTTTAACTTCGTAATGTACGAAGAGTTTGCCAACTCTTTGCACTTTGTGAAGTTTTTTTTTTTTTTTACTCCGCACTTTGTGAGGACAGTGTTACCACAGAATGCCATCTCTTCGCATTGTGTGGAGAGTTTTGTCATGGTGTTTGTCATCTCTCCGCATTGTCCGAAGAGATTTTTTTTTTACTTCGCACTATACGGAGAGTTTGACAACTCTCCGTACATGGTTTATCATCTCTCCACATTATGCAAATAGTTTGTTTTTATTTTTTTTTAAAGCTCATGTGCCAAGAGTGGTTTTTTTTTTTTTTTTTTTTTTTTGCTCATGATAGTTTATATTTACAAAAATTATTATTATTTTTTAATGCTAGTGGCTTGATGTGTGGAATAACATTTGTTTGATATAATTATTTTTTTAATGCAAGTGAGATGATGTGTGGAAGAACATTTGTTTGAAATAAACAAAATGAAAAATAAAAATGATATCATGTATAGTAAAATTGGATTCATTTATTATTACATGAATAGTAGACCCTCCTTCCCCTTTTTATTTTTATTAGAAGTTAGATAAACAGCCTTGTGCAACATTTGTATGGAACTACACCAAAATAGTTAGCAGCCACATAGAGTTTTGGAAGAGTTAATTGTTTGATCGAGGTTTGAAGTTCTTGTCACTTTTTTTCTTTTATTCCTCTCTTTTCTCCCAAGTTTTAACTCATGAATTAACCCCTTTCCAGTCTCGAAAACTCAAATAAAGATGCTAAGTTTGATGTATGAGCAAACTAAAATGGAAAGATAAGAATGAAAATATTCACCAAGTGGAGATGACACTGAAGACATAGGGACGGATGACTTGGGTGGTTAGGACATTTTTTTTTTTTTTTTTTTTTTTTTTGATCAGTTTCATTGGTGTTTTCAATTTTTCTCCTGTTTTTTAAAAAAAGGGGGGGGGGGTTTGGGGGGTTTTTGGATTTTTTTTTTTTTTTTTTTTTTTTTTGCATAGAGCTAAAGAGGTTCATTGTCACAGAAGAGGTTAGAAGAGGGAAGGCAAACCGAAACTCCAAGGCTAGAAAGATCTAGTTGTTATGTTCCAATATATCTAGTAATGACCAAATCGAAGTGGCAAAAAAAGGTTCATGTCGGTATCACAAATTTATTCAAAAAATTGAAGTTTCTTTGTTGCTTGTTGTTGTTTTCTTTTCTTTCTTTTTGCATTTTTGTTCGAAGAGGAGGGAGTATGAGGGGGTTGTCTTTTGGCAATTTCTAGAGTAGCTACAATAACTTTTCATATAATTAGAAATCAATACAATTTGCAGGCTTTAGATGAAATTTTCACTCAACTGACATGACTTGCATTTTAAATCTCTCGTCATAAATATTAATTCAAATTACTAGCGTCTTATGATAGATAACAAAGCAGCTCTTAAATACATTTCCAGATATAATACAAAGCTCTGGAAAACCTCATGCAATAAAAACCAAGGTTCTTCTGTGTACCATATGCTATCTAACAATATAACATGACGAAATTATGGTTGGCTCAAACGTTGACAAGTGAAAAATGGGTCAAAATTACCTTATTTTGCCAGGTTGCTTATAAGTGAGAAAATAAATCTTTTTCTCGTACCGTTTGACAAGCAGTCTGGCAAGCAAGCAAATATGCATATATACAAGAACTCAACACATATAAACTGGTTTTCATGAGAAGAAGACAATGCATTGGAAGAATTTGCTCCCTCGATTAAATATAAAAAGACAGCTCCCCGATTAAATATAAAAAAATAATTTCACCTCCAATGCTTTTTCTTCGTCATAGATGAATTTGGGCAATTTCTTCATGAGATCCTTTTTATCGGCACCATCTAAAGTCTTGCTGATCTGTGAAGAGAATAGATCAGCTGAATAGTGTTCTATACAACTCTAAAAATGCATCAATCAAAGCATTCCATTGAGACTGGATGGAATCTCAAAGAAGTAAAAAATAGATATGTCTAAGATACTGTTTTCAAGATTACAATAACTAAGATAATTATGTAAAGAAAAGAGAGCAGGTGCATTCCATGCCAAAGTAATTGCAACTATCGGTAATTGTTTGATTGTTATCACCTGAGGTGCATACACACAACTGAGGGTTTCAACCATTAATCCTCCCAAAACAAAACCACCAATAAAGATGCCTACGCTGCTTGGCCTTCCACCATAACTGCCATTAAACATACGAGAGATCTACCTTTGAAACTTATTTCGATATACATTGAAAATGACTAGGACCAAATAAAAATAACTGCAATATGTATAATAGACCTGCTACAAAACCTGGGATTAAATCCCGGGTTTAAATTCAGGCTAAGGTGGCAAACAATTCGGCCCTTGATCTTGAATATCATGGGGCCCACCACCTTAGTCCTTGATCTTGAATATCATGGGACCCGCAGCATAACAATCAAGGGTTGAGGTGTTGCCGACACCTCAGCCTGTCAACAGGGCCTGTCATTGCCCTGTTTGAATGGCAAAATCCTATGTATAAATTATGGGCTTGTTTGAGCCATATTATTTTCAAAAAAATATATTATTCAACAGTAATTTGACATCATTTCAACCACATATTCTTCAATAAAATAATGTTACATACAAATCTAAAATTTTTCCTTACTTTTTAATCACACATTTCTCATTGATTTGATACAAATAATGTATTTTTCCTAGAATGTGGCTCAAACATGGGTATATATTTGAAGCTGTTGCGTACAAAGCAAATAAAAAAGCAGATATCAGTCAATGTCTTGAGAAATTGAATTTTTAGGACAAAGCAATAGTTTATAAAACAAATGGCAAATAAACAATAAACAATTTTCATACACCTAGCCAGCACACCATTAGCAAAGAATTGTGGTTAATGATGAAGACAATACCTGTAGCTTAATTGAATCACAAGTGCCCTTTTGGAGCAAGATGCTTTCCTCGAACCTCTAAGACTGAAGAACAAGTTGGTATGGCCCAGACTTGGAATAAATTGGTTTATGGACTTCAGAGAAGAACCTAGAACAAGGACAACAAAGTTAACCATACCAAAAGTATAAAATGACGAGTTGCAAAAGATTCAGGCAACATAAGCTATTCAAGGAGCGTGGTTGAAATAACAGCAACATCTGCAGCAAAGTTTACAAGTACAAGCACTTAACTAGTTCCATTATTTCCTAGTTTAGACCCTCAATTATCAAAAAGATGGGTGCTGGACAACCTTAACAAAGTTTAGGCAAGTTGAAAATGACTGTAGGTGAAGATGAAGCTCCTCCGAATACAAATATAAAATCCATTTTTACATTGATTAATTATGTAATTGTGATAAAACGCATAATTTTCTTGATTGTGTTCTAGTGACCTATGAATATGGTGCCTAGGTCTTCAATTAGAAAGCATAAGTGTCCAGACTCCAGAGCAAGGAATTATCCTTTCAAATGTCAAGTAAATTTGTTAGTAAGTAATTGAAATTTCCATACCCCAAGATTTACTGACAAGATAAAAGATTAATCTTTTTCCGCTGACAAGAAAAGGAGTTCTTAGTCAGTTTCCAAAGTAATTTTGGGTTTTATTTGTTACAAACATGCAAAACAATGTAAGGAGTTGTTTGGATCATTTTGGTACCCTATAATCAGTTTCCAACAAATTGACCAATCCAGTTTTCAACAGATTTTTGACCCATACCACCAAATATTGCTGAAGACAGAAATATATATACCTGACAAGTGAGTACACTCTGTTGATATGCAAATGTTTCCAATTACATGGCAAGCAAAAATGTATTCCACCGTACATCAAATGACTACATTCTATTAAATACTTATTTCAGATTTTTCCTAATTCACGCCCTTTAGCTACAGATTCTATTATAATTCACATTGCAAGGTATAAGACTTGAATCTCACATCGAAAGTATGGGTTTTCGGTGTGTGGTTTATATAAACTTCAGCTCTCCAACTTCAATAGCTAGTTTTTGAGGTATGACTCTTATTATGTATTCTAGCAGGCTTTATGTTTTCCGATTGCAATCATGCAACTCGAATGGTGACGGCAGCATAGTAGTGTTCGTTTGGATTTAATCTTAGGCTACTACAAAGCCAATTCGACATGGGAGTCGGGATCGCGGAATGTAGTGGATTGTTATAATTCTCTTTGCAAGGTATTGGACTTGAATCCCACATCAAACGTATGGGCTTTCGGTGTGTGGTTTATATAGACTTGGGCTCTCCAACTTTAATAGCTAGCTTTTAAGGTATGGCTCTCTCAAAATCTATATAAACCCCAAGATCTTCTTGTAACTGTGATTGCATTCCATTGATCCTTGTTTCCAAAATGGTTACTGAGTCAGTGAAAGTCATTTTCCCAGGTAAATGGTCTGATACCATTTGATAGGATTCAAAGAAAGTTGGAACAATTACATGAAGAAAATAATGGGATATAGTAGGCAATGGAAGGAATGCTATATGAATTTTAGGAAACACTGGGTATTGTATTGATAAGGACAGATTTACAGGAATTGAAAGAAATACATAGCCATTCGAGAGGGCTAAAACCTCTCCTAAATTTTAATTTTGTTTGTGAAAATTTTAATTTTATTTCTTTTTACGTCGATGAGATGGAGGGTCATCACATGGCACGTAAAAATAATACGCTCAAAGCAAAAATTTATGAGTACCATCACAACATTTATCAAGTACACCACAATTTTTAATTTTTTCCTTATTTACTTAAAAAGCTTTAAGTAAAATTACATAATTAGAGTTAATATACTTTTAATCAATCACACCACATACCTATATATATATATATATATATTAGAATCAAATCTTGAAAGTGGTCCAATATTTTCAATCTGTTATCCAAATTTTTCGATTAAACTTACTGATGGAGCAATTCTCAATTCTCTCAATCTTCATATTCAAACAAAAAATCTTGAATTTGATTGTAGATCAAATGCTTTTGCTATAATATACAGAGTATATTATAAGCTTATGAATACTCGACTCAATATTGGAGCTCTTCATTCTTCACCAAGAGATGTAAGTCTTTTAGTTGAAGTTAATCCCTTTCATTCAAATGTTGAAATTCCAAAAAGAATTGCATGAAATCTTCAATCCCGTGGACTCGAATGGAATTTTGATAATGTTCAAGCACCTATTCCTGCTCAAACTAGAATAATTCCAAATCAAATTCTTACTTTTCCAGATGGAAAAGCTAAGATTTTTTTCAAAGGATCATCTTCAAAAATTCAAAGATCTTATTCTGCTAAGTCTTTTTCAACTAGATCTGAAGAAAAACCCAAATCATATTTTCAATCTTCATATAAAGGAGCAGATTTTACTCCCATTATTCCAAAACCTCATTATCAAAATTAATATGAAAAAGATGATGATCAACCAGAATCACCAACTTATTCAGATATGGTTCCTCCCTCCAATCTTGATCATCAATGTAATGTTATTTCTTCTAAAATTGATAGAAGAAAAGAATTCAAGTATGATCAAGACATTTGTGTCAAAAATTTTAGAAAAATTTTTCAAGAAAGTTTTTCTTCAAAACAAAAAGAATCTTATTGGTAAGATTATTTTAAATCTTCTACTGATTTAAGTTTCTATGATTGGATTCAATTCAAAGTTTTTGGTAAAAGGCCAGAAAAATAAAAAAGTTTTACTTCAAAAACTCATACCAATAATTGGAAAACTCCAGAAGGAAATACTTTCCAATCTACTCATCCTCCTATGCAAGAAATAGTTATTCCTCATGGAAAAATCGAAATCCTTGCATCTCCACTCAAAAGAATCCCTAAAGAACAATTTGATGAATCTCATATTGTTGCTAAGGATATCAAGAATATTCAATCTCAGAACAATTATTCTAATGTTGTTCTTCAATCTATGTGCTCTCAACTCAATCGAATCGAATTAAATTCTGAATCTGAGAATATTACTTCTCAAAAGGATTCTTCTAAAGAATCTAGAGAAAGTAGTAGTAAAGATAAGAATTTATCAAAACCATCATCTTCTTCCTCTTCAATTTTCAAAAGTAATGATATGATTCCTCAATTTGGAAAATCTTCTACTCTTCAAACTGAAAGTGAAATTCTTTCTGAACTTGCTACTCAATTAAAAAAATTTCATGTTTCAAAAAATATCAATACCATTGATGAAATTGAAGCTCAATTTATTGATGAAAAATATGATTCAATTAATAAAATGAGAAAATCTGATTATCAAAATCTTCCAAAATATTATCCTTGTCATTCATTCTCAGATCAGCTTTTTGAAGAAAAAATTAATCCTCAAAGAACTTATGACGGTAATTTCGATGTCGAGTGGAATCTCGATGGACTTACTGAATATCAAATCATCAATTTTATGGGACAAATGACTATGTGTTACAAAACTAACCTTGAAAAAGGTACATCTAGAAGAGATGCTACAAATAATATTGTTCTTGGGTTCACTGGACAGCTTGGTCAATGGTGGGATAATTATCTCTCTCAAACTGAGAAAGACATTATTTTTTCTACTGTCAAACGTGATGAAAATAATAATATTATTCATGATTCAAATGGAAATGAGATTAGTGATAGTTTTACGATTCTTGGTTTAACTATTATCAAACATTTTATTGGTACTCCTGAAAATATTGTTCAAATGCAAAATGACATTTTTATAAATTTAAGATGTCCAAAATTACAAGATTTTCGATGGTACAAAGATATGTTTTTATCTCGTATCATGATCAGAGAAGATTGTCAACAATCCTTTTGGAAAGAAAAATTTATTTCAGGTCTTCCAAAACTCTTTGCAGAAAGAGTAAAAAATTCTATCTTCAAAGAAAATGATGACCTTCAAACACTTACATAAGGTGAAATTATCAATTATATCAATATTGAAGCTTTAAGTTTATGCAATGATTTAAAACTCAAAGCTAAACTGAAAACAGAAAAATCTGAAAGTCGAAAAGAACTTGGATTTTTCTGTGAACAATATGGTTTTGAAAAAGTAATTCCTCCTTCTTCAAAATCCAAAATTTTTCTCAAAATAGGAAATTTTCTAAAAGAAATATTTCAAAAATATCCAGAAGAATTTTCTAACAAAAGAAAATTTTCAAAAAAAAAAAACCTTTTTTTAAAAAAGAAAAATTCAAAAAATTCTTCAAGTATTACTTGCTGGAAGTGCAATAAGACTGATCATTTTTCCAATAAATGTCCACTCAAAAACAAAATTAGTAATCTTCAAATTGATGAAGATACGAAAACTCAACTTCTCAATCTGATTGAATCAAGTTCTGATAATGAGTCTAACTCAGAATTAGAACAAGTTTTTCATAATCAAGAAGATTCTGATAATGAATCTTCTCCTCATTGTCCTCATTCCTCTGATATTTATTCAAACTCAGATAAAGAAATTTGTGGTTGCAAAACTATAAATGTTTTATCTAGAAAAGAAGAAATTATTCAAGATATCATTGATAAGATTGATATTCCTAATCTCAAGAAAAAATTCTCCTCCTTTTTACATTCTACTTCAAAACAAGATTTTGATGATATTAATATCAATCAAATTCTCAAACGAGCTCAAAAAGAATTTTCTAAGGGTTCTAAACCTTCTATTCCTGATCTTCAACAAGAAATTAAGGGTATGAAAACTCAAATCTTAGACCTTGAAAATCATGTCAAAGAAATTCACATGGAATTCGTTTGTATGAAAGCAAAAGATTTAAATGATGAATTTTATTCAAAATTCAAAGGAAAAATGAAAGTTTCTTCGAAGCATTCTTCCAAAAGATCTTCAAAACATTCTAAATTTTCGTCTGATTGTTCATTAGATTCTGATATCAAACTTCTCAAATTTGAAGAAGAAAAGGTTAATGTTATTAACCGAATTCAACTTCAAAAATGCTACTGCAATATGACTATTGTTGTGAAGAATTTAAAATCACAACTCGTGTCCTTATTGATTCAGGCAGAGATCAAAATTGTATCAAAGAAGCTTGGTTCCTACAAAATACTTTGAGAAAACCACTGAGCGTCTATATGGAGCTAGTGGAAAAAACTCAATATTAATTACAAAATTTCAAAAGCTCATGTTTGTAATTCAAATATTTGTTTCAAAAATATTTTTTATCTTGTAAAAGATTTGGATCAAGAAGTTATTCTTGGTACACCTTTTATTATTCAAATTTATCCTTTTAAAGCTGATTATAAAGGATTAACTACAAAAATTTTTGATCAAAAAATATTTTTTGAATTTACAAATCTTCCTTCTTATAAAGATATTAATTCTTTAAAAGAAGCTGCTATTTCAAAAATTATCAACAATATCAATTTGAAAAGAATTCATATTCAATTTCTTAAAGAAGAAATTCAATTTCAAAAAATGGAGAAAAGGTTGCAAGAATCTTCTTTTCAAGAAAAAATCTCAGAATTATAAAATAAAATTGAAAAAGAAATTTGTTCAACTATTCCAAATGCCTTCTTGGATAGAAAGAAACATGTTGTTTCTCTTCCTTACAATTATGATTTTCATGAATCAAATATTCCTACAAAACCTCGTCCTATTCAAATGAACAAAGAGTTACTTGAATTTTGCATCAAAGAAATCAATGATTTACTTGAAAAAGGTTTAATCAGACCAAGTAAATCTCCTTGGAGCTATTCAGCTTTCTACGTCAATAATTCTGCTGGAATTGAACGTGGAGTTCCTTGTTTAGTTATCAATTATAAACCTCTCAATACTGCTCTTCAATGGATTAGATATCATATTCCTCAAAAGAAAGATCTTTTGAATCATCTTTGCAAAGCTGTCATCTTTTCAAAATTTGATATGAAGTCAGGATTCTGACAAATTCAAATTAAAGAAGATGACAGATACAAAACTGTCTTCAACGTTCCCTTTGGACAATATGAATAGAATGTTATGCCATTCGGTCTAAAAAATGCTCCTTCTGAATTTCAGAAAATTATGAATGATATTTTCAATCCTTTTTCAAATTTCATTATTGTTTATATAGATGATGTTCTTATATTTTCTGAAAAATATAGAACAACATTTTAAACATATTCATACATTCATTCACGTTACTAAGAAAAATGGTTTAGCAGTTTCTGTTAAAAAGATTGTTTTATTTCAAACAAAAATATGTTTTCTTGGTCATTATATTCATAATGGCACTTTAACTCCTATTCAAAGAAGTCTTGATTTCATTGATAAATTTTCTGATGAAATCATAGATGAAACAAGTTTGCAACGCTTTTTAGGTTGTGTCGATTATGTTGTCGATTTTGTCAAAAACATACGTCAAATCTTTGCCCCATTATTCAAAAGACTAAAAAACAACCCTGACCCATGGAGTCACAAGCACACAGTTGCAGTTCAAA